AGGTTGGACATAGAGCAGTTTTTCCGCCGCCTCCGCCTCTCCACCTATCCTCTCCTCTATCCCTCTTCTATCCGCCTCCCACCCTCTCCCTATTTATTTCGGAACCCCCTTCCCCTCCCCCTTTTCTGATGAGGGGTCTAGGCCCGAAACGTCAGCCTCTCTGCTCCTATGATGCTGCTTGGCCTGCTGTGTTCATCCAGACCTGCACCTTGTTGCCTCGGATTCTCTAGCATCTGCAGTTCCTACTATCTCTGATTCAACCTATGTTGGAAATTTTATTGGTACTGGAAATTTCAAAGTTAAGCTAAGGTAAACACATGTTGATCATAAGTCTGTTGAGTTTTCAGTAGCACATTAAAATTCTGAAGTGAAATTTGTGTAAAGCTCATAAGGTTGCCATCTGCTTTTCGATTGTAAGCTGATAATAGATTTAGATTTAAACTTTTTAAAGTAAAATTGATTAGAAAGCTATCTATCTTTTTATGGCCATGGGTATGTATATGTTAGAACTGGCTACTTTTGCCTAACTGGCTGTTCTTGAGTGTAGTGTGATTTTGTATGGCTGTTAAAGCTCGATCTTATTTTATGTAAGATGGGCAGAAAATACAGCCCTTTAACCCTTAAATGTGCAACTGTTATAGGCAAGGTGTTTGAACAGATGAGTGGGTATTGAAGATAAAGCAATAAAGCTTTAACAGTACTTTCTGCAGTATATCTCCTTCGGGTTCATTTTACATTGAATTCCCTCCAAGTCTGAAGACCTACAGCATTACTGCCAAACTCTTTAGTTACATAACATTCAAAAATTTGCACCATTAGTATGCATTTTTAATGGTGTGATTAGTAAAGCAACTTTTGATCCTGAGGAAGACTCTTATATAGTTAGGTTTTCAGTCCATTCTGAAAGAATTGAGGAATAAGCTCCAGTGCTGTGACACTCGGCAGAAAGTTCCAAATGCTTTTGTGAGACAGGAAATGCACCTACCTGCCAGGGCCCAGAACTATTCAAGGATCTTTCCCATAATTGGAATAACTGAACTAAATCTCAAAATAAAAACCTTTCAGACTTTTGTGGCATTGTTAACCATTCCTTCTGGGTCTAGTTTCAAAAACCATAAGCTCAACAAATTTGATCTTGAAAATTTGTGTCGATCACTGAAAGGTTATCATTGCTCATTCACAAAATTCTGTGAAACACCCTGTCAGTTTAGTAAAAGTGGCAACAACCAAATAAGCACAACAAATATGAGCAATCGAGAAATAATGACCTTACTGCGGTACTGGCAGGAGTGTATGCAATGACTGACTGACTTTTTTGGTGTCCAGCATCCTCCAGTTTCCAGATCTTTTAGTTAATAGTTGTCAGTTGGAGTTCTGCTGTACTGGGGACCTGCCACACATCCCTATTTTATTTCCCCATACCACTCCCAACCATGTTTGGAGATCTGTGAATCTTATTGCTCAAAGGATGGAATCCCCTTCTGTTGTAATTGGGGATTTGACTGCTCACAAGTTCTCTGCACATCTAGGGGTCTGGGCAGGTAGGTTTTGGATTGTCAATGGTTCCTGAATGAGGGCATTTTTCATAATCTAAGACATTCCAGTAATCTTCGGTTAAGTTAGAGCCTGTCTTGCTGTGTTCTTTGTTCAAAGATATGGATTGTTAGCCTAAATTAGGGTCTGAGAAAAAGGCCCTTCAGTCCATCAAGTCTGTCAGTCAAAATCAAGCACATAGCTATTATAAACCATTTTCCAGCCGATATCTTTTTGTATGCCTCGACATCGCAAGTATACCTCCTAAATACTATTGAAATATTGAAGTTTCTACCTCGGGCAGTGTGTTCTGGATTCCCACCACCTTCTGGGTGAAAACATTTTTCCTCTCATCCCTTCTAAACCTCCCTTTCCTTGTTTTTAAATCTGTTCCCCCGGTCATTGATCCTTCCACCGAGGGGGAAAGTTATTTCCGGTCTACGCTGTCTGTCGTCCTCCTAGATTTATACATCTTAAATCAGGCCTCACCCCCACCAGGTCTCCACTGCTGCCAGCAAACTACCCCAGTCTACCTAATCTCTCTTTATACCTAAAACTCTCCAGTCCTGGCAACATTGACCAACTCTTGTTCTTAAGAATTAATCATTCAGCCCCTTGAGTCTGTTCAGCTATTCAATGAGATCATGGATTATCTATGGCCTATATCCTTTTGCTTAATAAAAAATGATCCATCTCCAATTTAACGTTAACTAATCTAGCATCTATTGCCATTTGTGGAAGAGTTACAAACATTCACCACTGTGTGCGCTGTCACTCCTGAACTGCCTGGCCTTAATTCTCAGACTATGCCCCCTAGTTCTAGAATCTCCATCGAAATCTCATCCCTCCCTAATGTAGGTTTAATTACCTTTTAACTAAATGTTTACTTTATTCTGTTTGTACTAGGGTTTCAATTGTGATGATAGATGCAGTTGTTTGAGGTTCCCAACTTTTTAGTATTATAGTTGTGGTTAAGAAACTCTTTGCCTTTTCCTAAGAGTCCAATCATTTGAGTCCCATACAATAATTTTCTTTTTGTTCAAATGTTAAATTTTTGCATTCCAGTCTCTCTCTACTTTTTAAAAAAAAAACTGGATGGTTCCTAATCCCATTTGGAATACATGTATTTTCTCAACAATGGCCAATTTTGATCATGGCAGATTAGCATTCGTAACTTGTGTTCATATTTTTAAAGAACTATCCATTTCCCTTCCTTGCTTCCCCCCACAAACTGGAAGCTAGAAATTAAAAGGCCAAAAAAATTATTAAATAAGAACTACAAAAGAGAAGTTTTCACTTTGAGAGAGTTTTTTGCAGGCCCTCTTTTATCTGTGGTGGACATAATGGCTTAAATGCTGAAGTCTGTCTTTTGACACTGATAACTGTACTCAGTATTTGTCTTATGTGCTGAGTTGAAGGCTCTGATTATTTATGTTCCATACATTTTTATAAGGAATTTGAAAGAGTTATTTTAACTTAAGTTGTGAATTGAAATTGTCCTGTTGGCCTGTGCTTGCATGCTGTCATAAAATCCTGTTAACTGTGCAAATAACCCCTACTGAACTTTACATTAGAAACTTGTCTATATCCTTTGACCTGCAGGATCTAATGCAGTTGGCCACACTGTCCATTGTAAACAGTATTACTCAAGGTTGTTTGATCCTTGCACGAGTATTCTTGCAAGAGGAAATAGCTAAACTGTGCTTCATGTTCTTACAGGTTTTTCCAAAAATATGTACTCATAATTACAATAAACACCCTGGCTTGGATTCTGCTTGTTTATATTTGGAGCAAGCTGTGACTGCACAAAATGGGTCAAAGTTAATTTTGTGAACTGAAGTCCATGTGTTTGTTTCTCACTATTTTGTTTTTGTAAAAAAAAGTCTTGGGTTGCTGTAATTTTACATTTTTAAATGTTCTTTGGGTAAGTAAGCCTTTTGTATAGTATTGATGTAATCAGTTGGATTGGAAACGTTCAAGGAATATGGGAACAATTACGGTTTACTTGTCATTTTTGAATACTGACTGAGCTATTCCAAACAAAATTGAAAGGTGAATTTTTAAGTTGATCCAGATTGGTGACTTCATTAAAATCTTGTATAATCTCTTGATATGGAGACTGAGTTTCTAACTGGAATTCATTGTATGCTGTTTCAGCTTTCGAAATAAATAACTTTCAGATTGTCATACAGGTATGCTTTAGTAACACCTGAAGCTGTAGGGATATCTGTCCCAAGTTTCCACATTGGTCTTTATTACCACTGACGTTTGCACCATGTTTGCTTCTATGGTGTTGAATATTTTTTCTTTTGGTTGATTTCAGCGCTCCACTGAGAAACTGAATGAAAGTGGCAACTTGTTTCCATATGAAATTGATGGTAAGTTTCTTTTGCCTTTTCTCCGCAATGACTCCTTAGAATAAAAATGTAGTGACAGGTTTCCACGTGTACTTTAGAAATTGACAATTCTTTGCAGCAAGTGGAACTGGAGCACAGTGAGCTCCAATGAAAAGATGACTAAAATATTAGCTCCTTGGGTTGTCCAGCCATTCAGTTGGACCATGATTGCTACATAGCGTGATTCTACTCGCCCCTCCCATCTGATATCTACTAATATTATCTTGTAGATAGATTTCTATTAATTAACAACTTGCACTATTATAGGAATTTCAACAGCAGCTAAATCAGACAACAGTGAGCAAGACAAGATACTTGAATAAAGGACTAGAAGTTACCTCAGTTGTGTTTTAAGGAGAGCCTTAAAACGTGTGAGGTGGAGAGATGAAGAAGAAATAAAAAAATTCCACAGCTTATTTTCTAAAAGAAGGCATGGTGGGATGAATTTGTCTCAATTTAGCTCTTTAAACCTTGAAGTCATTATGAATGTCTAATCCTCAAAGACAATACATCTTTACAGAATCTATTTAGGGTCTGACCAAAGTTTGTAAATCTCAGTTCAAACCCCATCCTTTGTATTCCAAACAGTTTTGAGAAAGAGGCCAATAACCTGTTTGTCTTTATGAACTGTTATTTGCACTCATTTTCAAAAGGAAAAGGACTTGCATATCTTTGACATCTTTCATGATCTTAATTGTCCAAAGTACCACAGAACCAATGACCAACTCTTGAAGTATTTTGTTTCGGTCACGTGAGAAGTGTGGCAGCTAATATGTACAGTAAGTTCCCACAAACAGCGATATGGTAATGTGAAGATCTTTGTAATATTGATTAGGATGTGTGATAATTTCCCTGCTGCTCTTCAGCGTCCCATGAGCTCTTTAATGGGGCAGTTTAACATGTCATATGAAACCAGATGAACGTCTGGATATGTGTGAAAGCCTTTGAAGTGGATCAAAACCACAGTTAGCTAGCATAGTAGTGATTTATGTAAATAAACATCTGAATTGCTTTTCTGCTCTAGTTGCTAACCTCTTGATAAATCAATATTACATACTAAAAAGTCTTTCACCAGTCTAAAGTGGGCAATGTTGAACACAACGTGCCATAGTCTGGCTCGCTCATTTAGACACTGACCTTTTTGTAACTTAGTTCCATCATCGATACAACTCACTGTGCTGCCTAACTTAATGTATTCTGCAAACTTTATATATATGTATATGTGTGCGTGCGTATTCCCGAAGAACACAAACCCGGTATCCCGACTGACGTCTAAGTACGTACTCACCTGTGCACATGGTTAGGATTGGAGGCGCAGTCAGTTTTGTTACTAATCCCTTATGAACAACTTTTATCAAATATCTTCTGGCAAATCCCCAGAAACTCCCCTATCCACTATACCAGTGATGACTATTTAAAAACAAATACTGTCAGGTATGAATTGGCCTTCACAAACCATGCTGTATCCCTTTCTTAAGCTGATAAGAGTCCAAATGTTTCATCACTCTGCCTCTGATGGAACTCTTCTGTGGAAAGCAGACTTGATCAATTACTATGTTCTGATTCATAACTGAAAAGAAGGTCTTTCATAAGGCCCTATGGTATTTTCAGTACTACGTAGGACCATAATTGGAAATTTATAATAGTGAGGTTATTAACAACTGATTTTTCAGTTAACACTATTTTTCGACTAAGTACATTTTCATACATATAATACAAGTTGTTAGTCACGTAGATTTGGTTTTTTAATACCATTTTGTAACAAAATCTGCATTTTGTTTAACACTTCTATTGTTTAGTGTAGGACAACTAGGTTCTGCAATAGATGACTTCCTCACAGGTGAATCTCGTGTTTCAAATCAATTGAGTGTTTGGAATACACAGTCAGACCTGTTTTTGAGAATATTCAAATAGATATTGATTGGCTATGGGATAGTGTGGAAGGTGGAGTTGATAGAAACTCCAGGTGTTGAATGGCAGAGTAGGCTCAAATGGCTTGCATCAGCTACTTCTAATGTACTTGGATCTGAGAGGCTGAGTAATACATTAAAACAAAACTGTATTATAGTCTTCCTTTTAAACAAGCACTTAGATCACAATGAAAACATTTTTTAAATTGTTTCTCAAATTGACCTGTGAAACTTCAGCCTTTTTTAGTACAGGCTTTGAAAGTCTCCAGAAATGATAAATCATTCTGTTAGCACCATGGGTAGTTATTTTCTTGCCCTCTGCTACTAAACGATGACTAAAACAGTTTATTTATAAATATGCTACATAAAGTACTTTGTGTAAATGCACATATAAATCTACGCTACATCTGGATACATGTCTGGGCATAGTTATAATTGGCAGTTGATGATTAGTCATCAACTCCAATTGTTTGAATAATCTGCATTTTCCTCCTCAGGATTAAATTTTGGTATTGCATTTTGTAAACTTAATCAGCTGTATTAATGTATTTTATAGATTACATAACATCTTGCTGTGCTTTCTGTAAACATTCACTTGATCAAGGCGTTGAATTTGGCAGCTTTTGTTTGGGTTCTGCTGTTGCTGTTTCCTCTGAATGCTGTTATACTTCTAGATGCCAGTGACATTCGCATAAAAATCAGCACGACGTCTTGCATCTCTTGAAGCAGAACCTATAGGACTTGTGTGAGCAATAGCAATATTAAACATTTCCATCTCCTGATCCTCTAAAGGGAAGGAATCTACAGGATTGCATAAATTAGAACCATAGAAAACTTGCAGCTTAGAAAGAAGCCATTCAACCCATCATACCTGCATCAGATGAATAAGTTAAAAGTCCATTCTAATACTACATTTTAGCACCGGGTCAACAGATCTTGCAGATTACAGCATTGCGGCTATAGATCCAGGTTCCTCTTGTAAATGAGTTGAGGGTTTTGGCTTCAGTCACCAAACTGCAGTGAATTCTAGAAACTCAACCCTGTGAATGAAAAGGTTTTGCCTCATTTTTCCCTCGCTCCTATCAACCACCTTTTAAACTTGTGCCTCCAGTAATGGATCTCTTTGGGGGGAGCAGGCCTTCCTTGTCCACTCTATGCAAGTCATTCACTATTTTGTACACCTCAATTAAGCCACCTCTTGGCTGCCTGTTCTGGGGGAAACCATCCTCGCTTATCCAACCTTATTCTTAGTCATTTTTCAAGCAATTGGCAAAATTGAATATGGACTGATTGCATTGCATTTGTTTTCCAATACCATACCTTAAGAATCTGTTAGCCTTGGACAGGTATAACTCATCCGTCAAAAGTGTAGAAGATTACAAGTCGTCATCTGATGTAATGGAAGAACACATTCCATTCCATACCTAATGGTGCAGTTGTGCCAATGCCAGTAATGGCCGAGGAACTGAGAATGAGTGCTCAAATCTCACCACTAACTCGAAACATTGTTAAATAAACCTGCCAGTCTGAGTTGATGGGAAGAAAATGGTGACCATTTCATTCACAAAAGGATCTGCTTTAATTGGCTTGGTACACACGACTCATCAAGTGATCCTTAAATTGCCTAAAGTTGAGCAGGCCATATACGTGCACAAAATACATTATTTTTATTTTTGGAAACATTTTTGTGACTTCGTCATTACTGTTGTTATGCTCCTAACTGAGTAAAGTGGTTGACTTGTAACTGTCATCCATCATGTTGCACAGCAACTCACTTTGGTATATCAAACTGTTACAAGAAAGGTAAATGAACTGCCCATGGAATACAGAGAATTAGAAAAGTGACTCATTACTGCCTTTTCAAGGATAGTTAGGAATGGGCAATAAATACAGGCCAATGATGTGCACATTCCCTGAATAGATAGTTTGAAATAAAACTAGTTGACTTTAAAATTGAGAATTTCCTTGAATGTGTTGAAATATTGATTTCAAAAAGTGCTCAAAGTTGGCTACATTACACATTAGGCCAGATTTAGTTTATGGCCATAAAGTTGTACAGCACTATTTTAAAGACCTTTCTCTTTCCACTTTATTTCATTTTTCAATTCTGGTTTAAATATTATCTAAAGCAAATTTCTATAAAATGTGCTTCATTTTAAATTTCTACTCTTGCTTCAAGCTCCAATTTTGAGTGGGTAGTAGCAGTGTACATCAAGGAAAGATGTAAGCTGCAATCATTTTTCTTAAATTAGATTGCGTTACCTTGCACATGAGCCGAATGGAATAAATGTTGACGTTTCGTGAAAGTTGTTTTATCTTATGATTCTATTCAGTATCAAATAACTCAGGCTCAGCTCCAAGCCACCCAAAATCTCTAAGTCTTCATGTACACTCCAAAAGTTGCCTTTATCCAAAGCAGTAATTGTGTAAAAATCAGTCATATCTCAAGGCCTGAGTATGTAGGAAGGACAGTCCAGTTGTTAGCATAGTGCTGTTGACCTCCCTGAAGAATACACTGTATCTTGATTTCAGCATTGCCTTTCCATTGTATGAATGTACAATCATAAAATTTTACATCAGAGGTAGGCCATTTGACCAATCATGTCTGTACCAGTTCCTAAAAGAGCAACCCAGATAGTCACATTCTCCAAACCTATCTCTGTAGTCCTATAAATGAATCACATTCAAATATATATCCAGCTCACTGTTGAAACTTCCTATGGAATCTGCCTCCACCACTTTACCAGGCATCTCACTCTCTAAATCCTAACAGATAAGTTGTTTCTCCTCATTGCACTTCTAGCTCACTTTATGACAGTCTTGAAATTGTGACCCCAAGTTACTGACAGTGCTTTTTTAAATCCATTCTCAAGATGGGGGCATCGCCGTTAGGCTAGTATATATTGCCCATTGCTGAACCACTCTCATTGCTGAACAATGATGAACTGTGAGTGCTGAATTCCTTGATTATTTTGCAGTACAAGTAGCTGAGTTATTCCAACCTAAAGGCATAACTATGTCACAGCTTTTGTTTGTTCATAGTTGAAAATGGGCCATTAGGTATGTCAGTGCTGGTAGAAAATAAATGGACTTTATGTAGACTGCAAATTTTATGACCTAATTAAAAATTAACCTGTATTCAAAGCTGTTATTCTAGTTTTAATATTTATGTAATAGAGTATGGTGCTGTGAGACCATTCCTATTATTATAGTATTTTGTATGTATGAATAGTTTATAATTTGAAATGTTTCTCTTGTCCAGTTTGTTCGTGATTGAAAACAGTCAATTTCTCTCCACCTTTCCCTAACAGAAGAAAGTCCATGGACACTTGTAAACCGGACTTGCTCAACTAAAGCTGAGACAAACCGCAATGTGGCCTTTCCTTTTTCGACGTGTACATTTAACCATAGCCTGGCTGACCATGTTGGGCTGCAATGGCGAATCAACACAAATAAAACCTCTGTTTCCGGCTGGATCAGTGAGTTGAGTCTCAGTGAGAACTTGAGTACACCTTTGGCCCCTCCCACAAAACGACATTGCAGGTCTCTTTCGGAGCCTGATGAATTATCCCGGTGCCGATCTCCATGGAAACCCTGCAGTTCTAAGGTCTGGACTCCTGTGTCAAAGCGGCGGTGTAACAGCGGTGGTAGTGCAACCTTGCAGCGCTGCAACAGCCATGGAAGTGCCACACTGCAGAGAAGCACAAGCATCAGTCTGCTCCAACAAACCAGTAAACACACATTATCACTCAACAACAGTATATTTAATATTACCAGCTTCAATACTTCACCAGTACCGAGGCCCTCCTCTGCCAGCAGTGGATTTGTAGACAGTAGTGAGGGAAGCACATCGAGTGTACGTTGGAACTCTGCAGGTCCATTTGACTTTAACCCAAGACGGCGGCTGTCACTTTCGCAGGAACACATTACAGAAACAACAAATCTCTTGCCTTCAGCCAACAGCACTCCCACCTCCACACCGGAGCTGAGCCGTCGACAGGGATTGCTGCGATGTCGCTCACAACCCTGTGTGCTGAATGAAAGGAAATGTGGGCTAAAGCGAAGGCGTGAGGAAGATGTTAGGTGGACGCGACCTTCTTTGGACTTCTTAAAGATGACACGGGTGAGTTGGATAAAGAATCTTCATGGTTCTGAGAGTCTAGCAAAAGAAGTAGAAATAGTTTGTGTGCAGGGACTTTGGAATATCATAAAACACGTTCTTGAAAGATAGTGAAGATGAAAATTTGGACAATCAAAAGTATGGAAGTTCCAGTACTTTAGTCCACTTGTAAATTTTTAAATGAACTATTTTTAATGTTTGTCTTTTCACCAGGATCTAGTTTAACAAATTTGCAAAGACTTAAACAGTTTCATGATCTTTGCACCCCCAAGCCATGAATGAATATTTCACTTTTGATCAAATCTGCTTGAAATTTTTTGTGGTGGTATTTGTGTATTGACATTGATAAAGATTGGAAAAATTTTGAAATTAATTTAAGGAGGGAAGATCACTGTAGATCAAGAATGTCAAAACTGTCATGGGCCTCAAATTTTAACTATTCCATCACCTTTAGGTCAGCATTATACAGTCCAGAAAATCCTTTTGATGCACCAGCATGAGAGCCATTTAGCTGAAATGCACTACAACTATGCAGGGTTGCTTCTAAATTCCCATGTGTGGTGATTTGCCATACACCCTGTTATTCCTTGTCAGATTGAGTGAGAGAACTTCAACTTGGGCCTGGTGATGAAGGAATTTCTGACAGTTGGATATTGTTTTTGCCATTCATCATCATGAAACCATCTCCAATTGGATGATTTGTAGCATAGTCTAGATTGTCCGTCTACTGAAGAATTGGGGCCAAGTGACAATTGGTTCTTTTCTGTATATCTTGGAAAGGTGACAATTTTGGCATCTTTGAAAGTTTCTCCAGATTCTTTCCTGCAACATTCTACTTGATCTTGGGAGACCAGTGTGTTTGAAGAGCTGGTAGACGATGAGACCAATTAGTCTCTTGAACCCTGTTATTATTTGCATTGTTTAATTTAATTGTACATTAAACTAGTTTTGTGTGGGCTGTATTTAACCACCTAGGAGAACACTATTCTCCAACTGAGTTGCAGAAAGCTAATGCTTATTCGCTCAGTATTTACATGTTAGCTCCTCAGGTTGAGCTTAAGCCTTTTTGGATGTATTTAATGTTTTGGAATTCTGTTGGAAAACTGACTCCTCGTGCATAGCTTTAATGATTTTTGTATTTGGGGAGGAATCTTTAGTCAACCATTTGAATCCATATGTTCAATGTCAAGCATGCAAAAAATTAGACTTTATCTTTGCCTGTTTTGACATTCTTGAAGTAGCAACAGAGGTCCTCAATAGTGCTGACCACTAATTTATGCTTTTTAATATATTCTGCTCATGTAAGGCAGCTAAAAGCTAGCTCCTAGTGCTGATGTCATTTACTTTAAGTAGAATTTTTGTGTAATTGAAAAATGATCATCAAAATGTTAATGTATGGAGTAGGCTGCTAACTGTTCTTGTGTAAAATTGTTTTTAATTGAGTCATCATCCTCCTCATCCAAGCTGCACTTGGCATTTTTAATCTGTACTCTGAGACTAGACCACGATCAAAAGCAAAGATGAATGCTAGAAATCTGAAATAACAAACTAGCAAACTGTTGGGAATAGTGGGTCAGGCAGTATCTGTAGAGAGAAAAATTGACATTTTTCAAGACGTGACCTTTCATCAGATTGGGAAGTTAGAAATGGAAAGGATTTTTCCAAGTGAAGGAGGGAGGTCTGTTACAATGTCAAAGACAATAGAGATTAAATGTCAGAGTTGATGTATGACCAGAGGAATTGGTAATGGGACAAGTAAAGAAACAAATGTATAGTGTGCAACAACCACAGATGGAAAGCAAAATTCACCTGAAAGCTGCAAAGAATAAAGAAACAAAGTGGGGCTTGGGGGCAGAGACACAGCCAGAACTTGAAATCTGTCAAGTCCAGATGCTGTAAACTTCCTTCTAGAGAGATGACATGCTGTTCCTCAAGTATATTTTGAGTTTTACTTACTGGCTAGAATACGGTCATTGCCATTTAATCTCTCTCTTCTTCATACAGCTTCCCTTTTGTTCTTGTTCCAATTGCTTCCTTTCACTTAAAACATCACGTTTCATCTGAAGTGAGCGAAGTTACAAAGGTCATCAAGATGAAACCTGCTCTTTCCCATAAAGATGCTGTTTGACCAGCTGAGTGTTTCTAATTTTATTTTGTTTTTATTTCAGAAGACCAGCATCTGATTTACAACAAATTTGAGCAGAAATTTTTCTGAAATATTATCTGATTCAGTTTATTCTGTTTAGCTACTTTGGTACAAGTTGATTCTGATCAGATCCTGCTGTATTGGTCTTTGTATTGCTAAATGACAACATTACTTACAATGCTCCATTTATAAGAGCATACACAGTTGGGTACAGCTCAAAGTAACTGCACATTATTTATTCTAAAATGCTACTTGTACTGCAATGGCTTAAAGAGAGCAAGATTAAGCAGCAACAACAGTTGGCTTGCCCAACTTGCAAATGCAGTCATTGAAATGAAACCAATAAGTACTTCAATCTTTACTCTGTGATTATAACTTCAAAAATTTTAGCGATGTGGCTTCAAGGCTGAGGGGAGCAGGAAATGCATACAGTCTTCATACTTGGGATCATTCTGCATCATTCAAGCTTTGTAATGGATATATTTCAGGTTACAGAGGTATGCATACGCTGGAGGAACATGGAAGCAGCTCACCAAGAATTGGTTTCCAGCTGGCTGACTGCCAGCATATCTTGGCTGGGTGCTAAACAAAAACAGGGCTTGCTGTTGGTGTTCAAAGAGCAGCTGCTTTGCAACGCGTCTCTGTAATTTCTCTTTGGAAAAGAGATTTCAGTTTCCAGAAGCCACAGTCAAGCAGCTACAAAGGGCGGATTTAATTGGGTAAATCATTGGTGTGAAAAGACCAGCTTGTTTAGAGTTCATTGAGTTTTGGAGGTGGTGGTGGGGGTACCCATCTTCTGGTAAGGATTAGCATTCTTGTCCTTTGGATTATATCCTGTTCACTGCCCCATCCTCCAAGTTGTTCACAATTTCTTTGTCGTGAACCTGTTATGCTGTTGCCTGAGCAGGAACTGGGAGCAGCGCACAATTTGACTCCAAAAACAATCCTAATTCACCAGCACAGATGAGCACGTATGCACGCACAGACGAGCACGTATGCACGCACAGACATGTGTTTTTATTCATTCTCAGAATGAGAACATCACTAACTAGAACAACGTTTATTGCTATTCCATAGGACTCAACCACATTGCTGTTGGTCTGGAGTCACATGCAGGCCAGATTAGGTAAGGATGATAGTTTCTGTCTGTAAAAGACATTGGTGAACCAGATGATGGCTTTTTCTAACAGTTGACAATGGTTTCATAGACTTTATTCTCGTTAAACTCCTAATTCCAGATTTTCCTTGATATAATATTTAACCATCTGCTATGGGAGGATTTAAGAACTAGGAGCAGGAGTAGGCCATCTGGCCCCTCAAGCCTGCCCTACCATTCAGTAAGATTATGGCTGATCTTTTTGAGACTCAGCTCCACTTACCTGCCTGCTCACCATAACCCTTATTCCTTTACTGTTCAAAAATTTATCTAGCCTTGCCTTAAAAACATTCAGCGAGGTAGCTTCAACAGCTTCACTGGGCAGGGAATTCCACAGATTCACAACCCTTTGGGTGAAGAAGTTCCTCCTGACCTCAGTCCTACATCTGCTTCCCTTTATTTTGAGGTGATGCCCTCTAGTCCTAGTTTCACCTGCTAGCGGAAACAGCCTCCCTGCCTCCACCTTATCTATTCCCTTCATAATCTTATGTTTCTATAAGATCTCCCCTCATTCTTCTGAATTCCAATGAGTATAATCCCAGCCTACTCGGTGTCTCCTCATAATCCAACCCCCTCAACTCTGGAATCAACTGAGTGAATCTCCTCTGCACCCTCTCTAGTGCTAGTGTACCTCTTCTCAATTAAGGAGACCAAAACTGCACACAGTATTCCAGGTGTGGCCTCACCCAGGACCCTATACAGCTGCAACATAGCCTCCCTGTTTTTAAACTCCATCCCTCTAGCAATGGCAAACAAAATTTCATTTGCCTTTTTAGTTGACTGCTGCACCTGCAATCCTACTTTTAGCGATTCATGCAGAAGGACACCCAAGTCCCTCTGCACAGCAGAGTGCTACAATTTTTTACCATTTTAAAACAGTCCATTTTGCTGTTATTTCCTACCAAAATGGATGACCTCACACTTGTCAACATTGTTCTCCATCTGCCAGACCTTTGCCCACTCACTTAGACTATCTATATCCCTCTGCAAACTTTCAGTGTCTTCTGCTCTACCACTCACCTTAGTGTCATCTGCAAATTTTGACACACCACACTTAGTCTCCAACTCCAAATCATCTATGTAAATTGTAAACAGTTGCGGTCCCAACACTGATTCTTGAGGCACACCACTAGCCACTGACCGCCAACCAGAAAAACACCCATTTACCCCTAATCTTTGCTTTCTACTGGTCAACCAATCCTCTATCCAAGCCAATACATTACCTGTAATACCATGTAACTTTATCTTATGTAATAGCCTTTGGTGTGGCACCTTGTCAAATGCCTTCTGGAAATCCAGATACACCACATCCACAAGTTCCCCATTGTCCACCATGCAAGTAATGTCCTCAAAGAATTCCACTAGATTAGTTAAACATGACCTAACCTTCATGAACCCATGCTGGGTGTTCCCAATGGGACAATTTATATCCAGATATCTTGCTATTTCTTCCTTAACGATAGATTCAAGCATTTTCCCCACTACCGAAGTTAAGCTAACTGGCCTATAGTTACCTGCTTTTTGTCTACTTCCTTTTTTAAACAGTGGCGTCACATTGGCTGTTTTCCAGTCTACAGGAACCACCCCAGAGTCCAGTGAATTTTGGTAAATAATTACTAGTGCATTTGCTATTTCCCCCAGTCACCTCTTTTAGTACCCTGGGATGCATTTCATCAGGGCCAGGAGACTTGTCTACCTTTA